CCCAAGAAATTGATAAAATTGTTTGAAATTTATGTGGAATTATAAATCACATCAATTTGCATCCTGCGTCCAGCAGTGTCATCTCAGCACACACACATGCCTGTGGGATTTAGTCAGGTCAAAGGTCACAGTAAGAGAAAGTGAAATCTTTCACCTTTGTTTTTGATGATTTGTATGTTTTAAGAACCTTAAAAACAATTTTTTCTGCTAACATTAATCTGTTTCCGACTCCCAATATTTGGAGCTAACCGCATTTTTGACTAGAGCCCACGCTGTTTCTTTATGCCAATTAAAGGTAGTTTTGGTTTACTGGTACTGTCACCGTACTTCACTGACACCGTTGGCAGAAGACATCCTGTCTCTGGTAGGAAAAACACACCTACAGGGTATGAGCCATATCGTTCCATGTAAAAAACTTTTGGTTTTGTGTACGGTGTTCTAAGAACACACCGCAAGTTTTCTGTCAAATGTTGTGATGCGGCTGTACATAAGGCACAGTCTCTACAACACCAAACTGGACGTTAAACAATGAATCCATTGACTGTTCGCAGAAAATCTAAAACTAAGTGCCGACCAAAGTTTTCAAAACTGCTGTAAAATGAGCAAAAACCAATAAATCAGTAACAGCTAACAGCAGATTTTTTATTTAAAATCTGACAGGAAACTTGCGTTTGACTTGCTAAACAAATATTTTTTTAGATATGAACTGGTTTAGACCGAGAGCTTACATCCTGTCTGTGTTTTTCAGACCGGAGACAGGATGGCTTCTATCAACGGTGTCACTGAGGTGACAAATGTACAGGCACAAACAACTGGAGCCAAATTGATAACCAACAATCAATCAAAGCTAGCTTAATTTCTCTGGGGCCGGCCCTGCACGAGAATCCCAAATGTGCCTGAGCTGACTGACAAAAAAAGAAATTATGATTAAAAACACTGTAACTGGTTCTCAAATAACTGTATTCTTTCACTTCCATAAGCATCTTGATTGACGGCTGTGATCACATGACTGCGGCTACTTGAGTTAATTTGCGTACTTTGTACACTAATCTGTCTTCTTTGTACCTGCAGCACGGTATAACAAATATGATCATACATTTCTTCTGGGGTCGCCAGAAATTCACGATGTCAAAATGAGGTCCACAGCTAAAAAAAAGTTTGGGAACCACTGGGCTAAACGTTAGCGGCCAGCTAGCAGCCTTCATAGTGGTGAGTGAAAAGCAGGATAAAAATGACATCTTAGAATCAAAGGCACTTTTGTCTTTGTGTCTGACTTGTGATTTCCTCACATGACATGTGTAGGGGAACTACCCCGTTCCTTCTGTGAAATGTCAACCAGCCCGTGCATGCTGCATTTATACTTCCTGTCAAAAGACAGTGAGCATGTTTTGCCAAATGGGGTAAACCAAAGACATTCATTTCATGTTCAAATATGCTGGAAGACGCAGGCGGGGACAATTAAACCCTGAAATGTTGCAGAATTTAAATGTTGTCATTTTGGGTGGACCCCCTGCTCTCTGCTCCACGACGTATAAATCACACACTTTAATTACACACTCGGCCGTTCATGGACGTGTTAATTCCAGTCTGATTAATTGATGCTGAGACAGAGACACTGGAGGCTTTCATCAGACTGTAGAGTACTAAGAAATGTCAGACTAGGACCGCCGTAGTGAAACACTGCGTCTTTGCCTCCCCTGTGGTCGACTGTGACCTCAGAGCCTTCAAATGAAAACCTCTTTGTCTGTAATAAGCCGAGGAGCGTGTGTGTTGTGCGCAGAGGGCAGCAGGTTGACCTGAAATGAAATAGATTTGACTTTAACTCTAACAAACCACAACAGAGTTGAGGTGTTTTCAGCTCAGACTCCTCCACAGAACCTCTTGTTACAATTATTCCTGCCCACAGCCTTGTTATTATCCAGGAGTTTCCAGGCTAAAGAAAGGCATCAGTTTCCTCCACATTTCTGTCAGCGTCTGTCTGTGTAACGTCGCGTCTAAAACAGATATAAACAGATCAGACAGCTCTTTCCAGAAGTTTCCATCCTTATTGTGACATATAACCCCAGAAAAGAAGCTGCCCTTGTGCAACAGTAACCCTGACATTTACTTCACTTCATCATCTTTTATCCCAGCAGGTGTTTTGTTTCACAGCTCTCAAGAATTTGGGACAATCTTAAGCTTTATTTATGTGAACTTTGGTGAAACTCCTTCTACATTCCAGACATCCCAGACCTATCTTTGGGAAGGATGATAATTAAACAGGAAATACTGAAATAAAAGTTAAGGATTTTTTTTTTGGATTCTGTCTGTAATCAAATCTCAGGAGGGTTATTTTTCCTCACTCCTCTTAAACACAATCCTCCTTATTTGCGAGGGTGTCTCCTGTAAACAAACATCTTCTAGTCAAAACACAGATTGTCTTCTAATTTAAGTCTTCACTCTTAGTGGAACGATTTAAAAATGATTTTTTTTTTCTGGGGGCTTTCCTGCAGTAATGGAACAATTTTAAACTGAGTAGTTATAAAACTGTTTTCACAAAGGCCCAAGTATCGGCCTCCGCTTCCAGACATCAGTTAGACATCAGACAAACAATCCCTACATATAGTGTTGCTACATGTGAGTAGCTACACTTTGGCTTACATTATTTAACTTTTGGGGAAAACATCACGTTCTGTGTGATGTCACTGTAAATTATATATATCTCCACTTCATGGTGTTTGTCTTCACTGCATTGAGAAAATGTTTCTAAAGACTTCAAATGAACTGGTAGCCTTCTCCTATCAAACGTTGGACTCGTTTGATGCTCTCGTTGTAGGCTGCTCCACTCCCAGTTTTGCCTCCATGGTGATTACTCCTCTCCTCACACTCCTCCGTGTGTCCTGTCCACTTCCTCTTTCACTACAGTACAGTATATAATCCCGTCTCTTCCTCTGCTTCTCTGCTGCTTCATTTCCCTCCCAGGGGATAGAACCAGCATTTTTCTGGCCACATGTTTCTAGTAGCCCGTGTCTTCCAACTCTGAGTAAGCCTACCATTTTGAATGCTGAATCCTCGGATCATTGAAGGCAGTTGTTTTTTACCAGTCCACCAGGCTAAATGTTACAGAAAATCCTTCTACGTAAAACATCGTCGTTGTGGACTCATACAATGTGACTAATGTGACCTGTGAGGAAAATGATCAAGGCCATACACCACCCTGACAGGATCATACCAGACAGCAGCCACCCAGCACGGCCAGAACAGATAGGCTGAGGAGGAGTTTTCTTCCTTCATGTGATTTGTTGACTCAGCACCGAGATGTTTGATTCTAGTGAAAATGTCTGTAAAATGGGGGCAACAGAAATACAAAGTTTGGTTAATGAGAAATCATTGACACATGAGTCTACAGGCCCCAGGGCTGGACAGGAGACCTGTCTTGGCGCTTTGGCCCAGAGGCAATGTCTCTGTCATTGGTGTGGACCTCCTGGGCAAGTTCCAATCCTGGTTAGGACAGTTGGTACCTTCCAGTGGACTCACCACCAGCAGGAAGGTTCAGGGAGGATGGTACGGTGCAGTGTGATTTGGGTGGCGGTCATGCAGACTGCTGCCCCTGCTACCTGGTAACGGATGAAAATGGATGGATGGATAATAACAACTATAATAATAATATTTCCAACAATAATAATAATAATAATCAGTATCATCATCATCACAAAGTCACTGTTGTGTTGTGTGTTGATTGTTATAATGCTGATGCACAGATTTTCCCCATAATGCTTCTAGAGCTTTACCACCGAATCCCAATTATCATTTCACTGCACAGTTTGCAACACAGTTCTCTCAGAGCCAAGGTGCAGATGAGTTATGGCTGCTCTGGGCATCCGCTCCGTATCTCTGTTTCTCTCCACTCCTCTTTCTCTGGAATCTCCATTGCTTTCATTTACAATTTTTTAATGTTTTGTAGCTGCCTGATGCTGCAACCAAGCAGAGTGTGGACTTCCCCTTCATGCCCTTGTGAGGATGGAAACATTAGCAAAAACTGTGGTCTTGGTTAAACAGCTGTGGAACAAATGATTATCGTCTGGAAGCGGGTCAGCAGGAGACTTGAATGAACAGATGCAAATTTGTTTTTTACAGAAGCTGGTACCAATCCATATTCAGTAGATGACAATGTCGTCTTTGGTCAACCCAGCCGCTTCCTCCTTTTCCCTCAAAGAGACTCACACACTTGCAATTTACAACTAAAGTTGCTTCCAGGAGAAGCTGCTCATAAACAGATTTATCATCCTTTATTGCTCAAGCTTCAATGGAATCACCATACCAGCTACTTCCCTTCGTTGAATTTAGTTTCTATTCCTTGGAATGTCTCTACACACCATTTTTTATTTGTTCGAAAGGATGTTTTTGAATCTGACCTATCTCTACAAAAGATTATACCATTTCAAAATAAAAGCATGTGCTACAGTGTGAGGTGACAGAGTGTTCTGGGCTCAGAAATGTAAGTAAAATGTACACCACTAGATATCAGTGTAATCTGCACAGCTATACTATACTTGTCCCTTTACTAATCACCTTAAGGATGAATTTTAACTTTATTAACCGGTCTCAATAAAGATTTTAAAAAAGTGTTGAGATACAATATCTCGGTCTGAATCCTCAAGTTCCCAGAGAAGTGGGCCTCAAACCTTGTCGAGTCATTATGAGAGAACAACAACAACAACAAAAAAACTACAGAAAACGTACACAACAAACAGACTGTTACTGCGATTCATTAGGATCATTAATAGATTAAAATGCCCCACCCCCACCCCCCCAGTGTTAAACATGTATGGGGAGGGGTCAATACAAACACAAACTCAAGTACACACACGGACACAAACTGTGGGCTAATTCAGGACCGGGCACTCATGTTACTGCCTGCTCTCTGTGTAAAGGGTAGAGGGGCTTAAAGGGTGGAGAGCTGTTGGGGGAGGAAAGACTGAGGCTCTGTAGTGGGGGGGGGGGGGGGGGAGCAGACTGGAACAAAACAGCAGCCCTGTCCAGCTCCAGCTCGGTTCTGCGGTGGAAAAGTAAGGCTGTGTGTGTGTACATGGAACTGAAAGCGAGGAAAAAGTGATGGGTCCGACTGAAGACACACATGAAGGATTGAAGTAAGATGAGGAGAAACACAGAAGAAGGTTGGTTTTCTCAGTGGGGGGGGGGGGGGGGGGACTGAAAGACAGGAGAGAGAGAGCATATTAGTCTGAACAGTGGATAAAAGAAGCAAAGGAGGTGTACAAACTGAAGGGGGCGTGCTTTCAGTGGGGGTGGGAGGGGAGGCAGACAGACAGGAAGAGTGTGGAGGGCTATTACAGTGTGTGTGGCATAGAGATTTAAAAATCAGTTCTGAAAGAAGGCCAGCTACTTATTTATATCTGGTCAGTTCACAGACTGTTGGTAACACACCAGAAACACAGTAAACATGTCATGCTCCTTGAACAAGTACAGTATGTGTTTGGAGTCTAAACGCACTCAAGCTCTAGGCTAGAGGCCTGTGCAAATGCATGGTTATAGATGCCATGCCATGTGGCAGTGGGAAACGTCATTTCAATTCCTTTGTCTGTCTAGTACATGTGAAGACATTGACAATAAAGCTGACGTTGACTTCTTCTTTTTGTCTGGGCGGGGCCTCTTTAGCTCAGAGCGCCAAATAAGCTAGGACCGCCACTGTACGTGAGTCCGTTTTGCATGAGTGTGTTCTCTGGGTAACCATTGTAAACTTTAGTTGTGTTTTCCCACAGACCGCTGCTCTGCTGAAGAACAAAGACAAGAAACAACTCAGAGGAATCAGGACTTGACTGAACAAGAGGCTTGAGAAGGGGAGAGAGTCATCATTAGGGAGGCGTGCTCTGAGCTGAAGGGGGAGGAGGAGAAGGGGGGAGGCAATCAAACAGGAAGCGTGCGGAGAAGGAGATATTACAGAGCTGGAGTAAGACAGAGAGAGAGACCTGCAGCCGGTACGACCAGGCGAGGACATGTGAGGAGGAGGCAGCAGCGAGAAAAACAGTCAGTTAGTTTGTAAAAGTATATGTGAGACGTCAGAGTTCAGGTGAGGGGGTCCTTGAGGGGACGGAAGCACGAGAAGGGAGGAATGAGGGGGCAGCTCTTGAAGACACTCTTCTCCCTGATGATAACTCTCCTTGTGGGGAGTCTGCTGACCACTGTCATCTGGCACGACAAGTAAGTGTGTAAGACGCGCTGACTTTCTAGATGTTTCTAGATGTATTGCTCTTTTAAAGTTGCACCTTTACCAGGCGGATATTGGTGTAACTTAGAAACAAATATAATCTTCAGAAATTAATTAAATAATTTCGAAATTAACTAGTTACACTCATTTCTGCTTTCAGAATTAATTTTTAAAACGACGGTCGGTATAGCTGTGACTTCGTCAAGATACAATGTTTGTGAGAAAATACTACTGTGACAACATTAATGAGCTGAAAATAAGCCACTTTGACGAACATATGGCTGATCCCTCGAAGTTTACTAAGCATTTAGAATATCACCTAATGACGTAGGGCCAGTGCTTGAACTCCCCCCTCCCCGCCCCCCATCACTTCGGTGATGGGTAAAACGCAGGGGTCACATTTTGTATTTTGAATCACAATGACAAGTGATTACCTTCACTTTAAATCTGATAAATATGACAAAGGCAACTTATTTTGTGATAGTACAGGAGAAGAAAAACACAGAATCTAAGAAAACCGTCTGTGTCTTTAATTAACCCATAAACTGTTTGCTGATAACTTACCAAAAATACTCAAAATAACGAGGTTGCAAAGGAAAAATGTCTCTCAAGGGAATCAGAACGGTATATCATATGCAGAATTAGACAGGGACTTGATGAAAGATCAAAGGTCAAGACTTAATGCTTTGACCTTTCCTGTAGAAGAACACATGTTCTGGTCTGAATTGCTGCTTTGTAATTGGACGAGGCACTATTTTAGACATTGTTGGGAACCTGGTTAAAAGTAATGACAACATAAATGTCATACCATTGTTGCACGGCATTTTAGAGTGACTGCACACGTGCAATTTAATTTGTTACAGTTTTTAATTTTTATATATATACATTTAAAAAACATAGTAACATCACTGTCTTGGTACTTGTTTACATTATATTATTGGATAAATGTTGATTCTAATTTTTTTTTCAAATGTGTCCATGTATATATATTTTGGATTGTGTGTTGTGATCTGTTTTACAGTACTATTGAAAAAAAAACCCAGACTTCAGATCTATTTAGTCCTGCTTCTTTATTTGTCCACTATTGTTGTGGTATGAAAAGTGAAATATACTGATTGGAGTTCACATACTCCTCCACAACCACAACCACAGTAAGGGTATTAGCTTGGATACTTGTCTGATCACAGATTGTCTTGTGTTGTGTAAACAAAGGGAATAATAATTTCGCAATAGCCGTGTCTGACTCCGGAGGTTTTTGACACTACCTTCTCTATTTAAATCTGAAAAACAGGAAGTGAGGACAATAAGTATCCGTGCTGAACACGCAGATGACAGACCACAGACATTGCAGGCTTACTTTGCAGGGTTAGCGTGGATCCACCAACAAACACCCAACCTTGTGTTTGACTGTTATGAAGTCACTTTTGTCCATCATCATGTCAAATGTTAGAGTTTTACTTTCCTGAAATAAGGCGTCAGTGTCGATAATTATTGTCACATTCGTAGAGACTGAGAGAGGAAATGGACAACAACAATGAAATGGAAGACAGAATGGGATTCAACACCACAATGAGGGCTGGATTGTGCTGTACTTGCCTGGTGATGTATATCACTAGTGTTGACCGTTTACATCAGATGTTGGCAAATGGCCTTTATGAAAAATGGAAGTGACTACAGCATGTAATACCTGGTTGTATTAAAGGTCTCATCTACAATTGTCTTATTTACAAAATAAATATCACCTTTTGTAGTGACTCTAATTCTGACATCTTTAGCTGAAAAAATGGAATCAAACGTCAATGTTCCTTTTGGACCTGATGAAATTCCCAATATGTAGATGAAGGGAAGAGTTTTCTTAACTTTTTCGTGTCTTGTTTATTTTTGTGGCTTCTTAGAAAAGTGGATCCTCAGAGAGTGGTTCCTCAGAGGAAAAACGCCCCTCAGCCAGCTGAGCTCTGCACACGCTGCAGGTGAGAGTGAACCCTGGGCTGTTGTTGCTGACCAGCTGAATAGCTTCAGCTTTCATCATATCAAGTCACCTGGAGGAGTTTATTATCTTAAAACCATGTTTTCACATTTCTGTGTGTTGCAGGGAAACAATTAACAAAATACTACAGGGTTATTCTACCACTTGGAAGAGACAAGAAGACAACTACCAAAAATTCAGGTAATATAGAAAAAAATGTAAAAAATGCAGAAATTGTTTTAGAAGACTGAACGTTCTTACACATACTCCCTTCATTTTCCTCGCAGTGCTAAGAATTCTGCAAAGAATATACAGATGTCAGTAACCTTTGTGACATTGAGTGCATGTTTGAAATTTCCTGGTCAGTGAGTGTGCCATTCACAACAAGATAGTCAGTTAGAAATCAGGCAAAACACGAAAACATTTTTTACATGCCTGAAATTTTATTCCATCCTTTTTTTTAAATCATTATCTGTAAACCTCAGACATTTTAATGCAGAAAAAAATGTCATAAAAACACATGGATCAGTCAGTCTGCCACATGACACATTTAAATGAACTTTATTTTGACAGAAGAGCTGAACTCCTACATAAGACTTTCTGTGGTGTTATTTGCTTATCAGATATGTGTATTAACAGTAACACAGCTATATTGTACTTCATAAAGTGACAAGTAAGTCTAAGAACATAACCTTTTGTCTATCATTGCCATAAAAGCCTTTTTGAGTGCTTGGGAATTCTGGATCAAACCTCACTGACTGGATCATTTGAGGACCACCAGTGTTAAACCACAGTCTGAGACCAGCCTGCAAGATTTGTCGCAGTGTAATGAGGAGACTTGTTGTGAAGTTACATGAGGACATTCCTGTGTGTTCCCTAAAAGAGGATGTTTCAATTGCTATGTAAAAAAGATAAAATATAAAACCCCATAATATTTTCACAACTGTAACTAATTGATTTTCCGTGCCAAAACCAAACCACAGGCTGTTCACATAAGAGCCCTAAAAGTAAGATATAAAACATAGTTTGTCAATAATACACCCAGCTGGGACAAATATTTGAGGTTTCTTTTGTAATATTATTGAAAACACTGATGTGTGTGACTACAGTGAATACTTTATGTTAATTCAAAATGAGGAAATTGTCATCATCACTTTCATTTTAAAGCACAGCTGCTAACACACAATTAGGGAAAATGATTTTGGTCCAGAGCTTTAAACTAACTTGATCTGTGGCTTTCAGAAATATTGAATCCAGATGACGGATTTGAACCAATCATTCCGTTTGTCCAAGTTGGAATGTTCATCAAGTTTCACAAACATCCTATCAAAAATAAAGATCTGCTATTTAGTGCAAAGCCACACATTAAGTAAAGGCAGATAAATCAGCATGATCTATTACTCTGGCTCAACTCTTGCCAGGCATAATAAACGATGTAGGCGCCAACAAATCTTAAAACTATCATTGCACCACTTTTTCATCAACTTTTATTAACTGTAGATTTAGAGGCATGTGAACCATGAGAAACGTTAGTCTTTTATTGTCAGTAGTTTTTTTTCTCTCGTGACAATTCAAAACATCTTGTCTACAGCTTGTTGCACTAGACTGAACAAAAAAGGAATAATTATACATAAATCTATCCCCAGTGTTTTCTCTCATCCAGAGCAGATGAGTCAGATGAGTCTCGTCATCTGGTTTAGGTCTGACACAGGCAGCTTAGACTGATTCACCAATGGTAACTGTGCTGGATTCAATGTTTACAAGAACCTGGTAGAAATAAGATCAACAAAAGAAAGGAGAAGATTTGTATGGGAAAGTATTTTATTCACAATTTTGTTCCACAGGTCTCAGCTGAACAGCAAGTGTCATGGCTTCGAGAAGGCTATTATCACACAGTACAACACTCCGGTGGGGTCAAAGATTTGGTACGAAACGGAAAAAAAGAGGAGCGTACAGATCACGCCCGACATTTTCAGCACTTTTATAAAGGTCAGCTCATGGAAATAAATGTATAATGCAAATATTAAAATTGAAATTAATTCTGCAGTACCTTCAAGTCATCCAACAGGGGCCTCGCTCCCCTCTTTGGTAGCCACTGCTTTAGTGTTACATACGGAGATGATACACTTCCTGTCATTTTGCTTTTCATTGTTCACACGAACGCTCTTTTTTAAAAATTGATTATAAATGCCTATGCAGCATGACTCAATTTCTCCCTCTATTGTTTGCAGCTACATCCCTTCTCTAATGAAACCAAGGAAACGTGCGCCGTTGTCGGCAATGGAGGGATCCTGTCCAACAGTAGCTGTGGACAGACCATCGATTCAGCTCAGTTTGTTATGAGGTGAGAACAGAGTCAGCCACTGGACACAAGACAGGTGGTCACTTTCTGCGTGTTTCTTCATCTATCTATCTATGCATCTATCTATCTTTTCAGGTGCAACTTGCCTCCTTTGCAGAATGGCTATGAAAATCATGTTGGTGTCAAAACTGACCTTGTGACAGCAAACCCCAGCATTCTGAGAGACAAGTAATACTTTCTACAGACACTGCCATTTCACCAAAATACACTGTGCATACTCGTAAACCTGGCCTTTGTTCTAATCCGCAGGGGTGTTGCATTTAATGACCGTACGATAAATTAAGGTTTTTCGTACGTGGTTGCATTAATGGTGAGAAGTATTTTATGTATGGGAAAGCTTCAGTATAACAACGTTATTAAAAAAAAAGAAAAAAAAAACAACTAAAAACATTATATTATATTATACTCCATGCTCTCACAGAAATACATTTAAAATATGTGACTTTTTGGCTCTCTCTGCTAAAAAAGGTTCCCGACCCCTGCATTACAAGATTAGTCGAGGAGTCAGTTTGTCATCTTCCATCTGCAACATTCCACAAATGACAGTGTTATCCAGACTAACAAAGATCTTTACATGCAACCTCATTTTTAAAAAATCTTTATGATTCCAGGTACGGCTCTTTAATGGGTCGGCGGCGTCCCTTTGTGACGAACCTGCAGGTCTACGGCAGCTCCCTGCTCCTTTTTCCTGCCTTTTCTTACAGCTTCAACACTGCAATTTCCCTGCGTGCTGCATACACCATTGAAGACTTTAAATCCCCCTCCAGACCCATCTATTTCAACCCTGAGTACCTCCAGAGGTTGAATACCTTCTGGCGTTCCCAGGGCCTTAAAGAGGTGCGACTCAGCACCGGTCTCATCATGGCCAGTCTGGCACTGGAAGTCTGTAAAGAAGTACATCTGTATGGGTTCTGGCCTTTCACGAATCATCCATACGATCTACGAAATCTAACTAACCACTACTACGATGACATACAGACTAAGACCAAGTTCCACACCATCCCGGACGAGTTCGCCCTCCTGCTGCGGCTGCACAGTCAGGGCATTCTCAGAATTCACCTGGAAGATTGTCCACCGGGTAAAAAGTAGCCATTCGATCTAGACAATATGAACACAGGAGCCACAGGTGCCTTCTTCTGACAAAGCCAGTCACTCTTGAAGGCTTTTAATGCAGCTGGATGGATGGACCTCTGCTGGCTGATAGGGTGGATTTTAGTGAAGAGGCCGAAACGTTTGCACTGAACCCAGAATGCAAAAGAAAAGACTCTCTAACATATTCACGGATATATTTATTAACAGGAATGTTACATCTGCAGCCTGGAGGGGAGTTTCTCCCTCAGGGTGTTTTTGTGTGACCATTGTGATGGTCCACATTTTAGTGCCTTATGCTGTTTACTTTGTGTTAACTGACTACAGGAGCTCTTTGATCAAATCTGAATGTATTTAGAAAAATTATGTTCTCAACATGAAGACTGAACACCAGCAACCTGAATGTGAAGACAACTAAATTGTCTCCCACTCCTGATTTTGTCACTAGCAGATTAGATACCATGGTCAGGTTTTGCTGAGATAAATGTAGTGCCTTAAAATTGTCAGTGCCCTGGGAGGTTTGGTGATGGGCTGGTCCTGATCCTCGACCCATTTTCTGTTTTACATCTTTTTTGTTCTACTATGTGTAATTGTACCTTTTGGGGATTTTCCAAACGTCAAAAGCAAAAGAAAATTGAGAACTTACAGGCAAAGTGCCCCCTGCAGGTGGTGCTATAGAACTTTTTTTTTTGTTTATGAGTTTGACTCAATGATAGTAAATATGGCTGCTGTTCATTTTATTATTTTAAGTTATTTGATTTTAAGCCATTGATTTTTTTTGGCATCGATGTCTTAAAGACTGTAGCACAAATTAAACACATCACAAACCCAAGTATTAGCATTCAACATCGAGATTACTTGATCTCAAACATTTCATACTAAAATAAAACTATGCTTTAAAACAAAACATCCCAGTCTTGCTGCACAGTAATGGTAAACACTACTGATAATGCCATAACAACATTTAAATAAAACAAACTGTGAAAGACATCGTTATAACATCTCCTTATCTGCTTATATGAAGAACACAATAAATAAAACTAGTAATACTGCAGTACTACTTATACTATTACCTGCTGAGTATGACTCGTATTTCAAAGCTAAAACCGAATAGTAATACATTTTATTACTATATTCCTTTTGATAATCATCTTTAAATAGCTGTCTGTAAGACCAAATTATTTTGATTTAGAAAACAACTGGTCCTTTTTACTCTCATCCATGAGGCCTTTTCGGATGTAGTAGTAAATGGTAGTGCTTGGGCGTTTTAACCCCTATCAGGTGTGGTCACTATGCTCAAGTAGCACAATGTACTTTTATTAAAGGAAATCCCTGAATGCTCTACCCTTGACTACAAATCACTCAGAAACAATGGTGCTCAGAGCCCAGGACTGATTAGATCCACGGCAGGAATGGAATCACTGTTAAACACAAGTATTTTATTAGGAGCTGATACTAAAGTGTGTTGCTCCTCATAGTTGTGGTTGTGCAGCTGTGACAGGTTTGTGTAAAGAGCCAAACTATTTGCACTATCAGTCTGAGGAACAAAATGACCAACTGTGCACTTTGGTACTTACTTTGGTACTTATTTACAACTGCTGGGATGCATGTCTTAATGTGTCTATGACTCATAAGATGAGGGCAGATGTGTTTGGCTGACGGCTTCCGTTGAGTTAGTTGAGATTGAGACTTTGTTGATGTGGACTTGAGTACTTCAGTACCAAAGACGACATTGCCCCATCTGTGGCAACAAAACAAATGGGAACCTGGTAGGGAATAGGAGTCTATGACTGAGGATCCAAGAACCAGGAGCCTGTTGACACTTTTCTTTAGGGATTTTTACTTGTTCTTAAAACCTTCTGCGCTTAATTGAACCTTGTTTGTCAAGAAATCCATGGGGGAGCACAGTCTAAGTTGGAGTCAAGATAGTAGATTATGAAAGTGGTTTTAGATTAATTCACTGTTGATGCTCCAAGTGTCCTTGAAACCTGTTTTGAAATAACGTGTCTGATTATGAAATTGTAATTTTGAAAAGAATCCACAAAATACATAAATGTAATTTATGTGCCATAGTTGACCCCCGGGCCAGACTTTAGACATGCTTAAAGTAGCCCATTATTTGGATTAAATGTGTCCATGAAGTTATCACCCTGACGTTGGTCATGAGATCGTACTGAGATCAGCAATGACCTGATTATAGGACACTTACACAGAGGGTACGGAGAGTCAGATGTTAAGCATCTTGGTTTATTATATTTCTAGAGGCAGTTTGACTGTGGAGACACATGATGTTGATGAGTAATTCGATTAATGTAAATGTGACTGAATTTTAACCATTTCATGTACCTTTTTGATGATTTTTCATATTCCTGTTTTGAGAATGATTGATTATTGATATTATTTAAAAATAATACTGTTGTTTTTTAAATAAAAGTAACATTATTTTGACTTTATTGTAATATTTTCCACGTTATAAAGAGGAAAGACATATGTCAAGTTATAGAAACTAAACTTTTTAAGATGGTCTTTATTTTAAAAAAAATAGCAGATGTAATGAAGTAGGCAGAAGATTCAGCTTGCATTCTCATTTATTTTTGTAGGAAAATAAGTTTTTTTGTTTGTTTTTTTTACATGCAAAACCATAGTAACCTTCAAAGAATATGCAAAAAGAGAATACCAGAATGGTACTCAAGGGAAACCTACATTTTACAAAAGGCATTTAAAAACAGAAAAAAGCACAAATGTATAAAGTTTGAACTGGTAACACTCTGGGTTGCATCAATAAATCTTACCAGGTATCGTATTAAAATCTACACCAACAGTCTGTTCAGAAGACGGACATTGTTTCAAACACTACAGGACAAACAGCTAGAACACTAGTGTACAATTGACAAACTGATGCACAATCTGATAAAAGTCTTCATGTAAATGTACATTAATCCACAACAGCTTAGTCACCTCTGCCATTGTTGTTCTGACACTGCTGAATGCTGGCAACACAGTAGTTGAGTTTTAAACCTCAGGTGATCCTGTGGTTGGACTGCTTTATTTAACACTTGATGCAATTTTAATAAAGATACAAACAAATACATTCAGATTTTTTTCTATCTTCCCCAACATGTTCTGTAACAAGGACATTCCATGAAAATGCTAAGAAGACCAGATGTTTTTTTTAATCAGTTTTAACATTGAATTAAAGGGATTTATTAATTATTCTACCATGTAATCCCTACCAGGGTTGCTGAGCACAGTTGATAAGGTGATGTAATAGTTTATTATAATTAAATATAATCGTTTTTTGGGAAAGTAAAAGTGGCCTTGTATGATGGTTTATGTCAATGGCCATTAGTGTTGTTTACTGGTGAACACAAATAAGAAAAGTTGAAGCTAAGTGGTAATAAATGTCATTTGTTTTACGTTTCCATTGTCACGTCCAACACCGCACTGTAAGTGTTGAATGATGTCGCCCTCTAGTGACTGCAACAGTATCAGCAGCTGCTAATGCTGCTAAGCATTAGGCGGTTGATAACAAACAGTTGTCACAACAATTGTGGCAGCCTTTTTATCTGGCTTTTCAGCTTCCGGGGTTGCTGTCAGGCAAAATTCGAAATGAAAACACTGCCATACTGACAGGGAGGTGTGTTTACTGTCAGTTGCCATTGTCAACAGGTGAAGTTGAGCAGAGTAATAAACAGGGTTGGTAGATAGATGTTGTGCCCTGGGATGCCGGAGCAGGTGAAGAGAACACAAAAGTGAGTGAACAAGTGGAGCCAGGGTTGGGACCCCGCAGGCAACGACTTCGGATAATGCAGCTATGACTTTAAATCAGGTACAGAATCTAATATTTCCTATCTCTAACTTTTTTTTTTATTTCGCTTTCTAACCATTGATTTTGAGCCAGCTTTTCGACCAATATGGCGGCGTAAACAAACCGAACCAAGTGAAAATATCCCTTATTTTTTGGCAACTTTATTTTTGTCCGAATTTATGTAATTTCTGAAAGTACTTCTGACTTCCTCTCTTGCCCTTCTTCTCTGGTTTTCGTGCTTCATTTTGTAATATGCCAAATAACCCAAAACAAGAGGCTTGTATTTAATTACATTAGGACATTTTTACATATCAAATTTACTAGTTAAAATGCAACGCATTCATTTTCCATTTTTCTTCAATTCCTATTTTTTATTACATGATTAAATCTAGCTCACCATGGAAAACGTTTGCACACCACTGACGTAAAGCAGGGGTTTGTTTTCGTTCCTCATCGAAAACACTCCTCGATTAAATCTATTAGATTATACTTTATAAATCAAGAACAGAGTTTTTCTTTCACTCATTTTACCAGGTTGGCGATGGTTTTCAAGTATTTGGCCCTCACAATTCTTTTGTAATGGGATTCCTCCAACTTGCGTACTTATTTTCCACACAGCTGTTCAGCAGACGTCAGAACAATGATGGGAAAGAAGTAAGAGTGTTTATTAAAACACAGCCTGGACCGCTGCTAAATACACCGAACACTGACACTGTAATATACAAGAAAAAAGTCTGTCTTTTTTTTAAACATCACATTTGTTACCATATTATAAAAATATACTTTGTTATATTTCACATATTTTACAGCTTGAAGGCAATTGAAAAGACAGTAATCATAAATACTTTAAAAAGGGACTCATTCCTTTTAAAGCCACCTTAACATTTATGCCTTTGTTTCGCAGAGAAGAAAAATGAAAAAGGGTTTCATATTCAAAGCAGGATCTTAATCATAAAAATGTACTACCTCTTTTGAAAAGCAATAGAGACAAGTGGCTTTCAGCAAAAACCTGGACTTACATAGACGTATAGTGAATTTCCATAATTGGAGGAGCATGGCCACGGTATTCCAAAGATACAAACAGCCAGGCTTTAAAGTAGCCCAGCAATAAAATCTTGGCACTGACAATTGCATCACACAAACAGTGTTTGGTCTCGCAGTAATAAGGAAATGGCTTTATACCTTTTCAATTACAGGATGCTAATATTGCAGCCTAACGGATCTAACCTGTGGCACGAGGAAGACTTCATGGAGCAAGGACAGCCAATAATTAGGTAATGCTGTTGGAAGAGTAACATTAGTAAAGGGTCCACGTCCTTACAAACAGCATAGAATGAGCCACCAGGGGGCAGTCAACTACAAGGTGGAGCAGCAATGACCTCCTGAGGTGCCTTGTTTAAAAAGCCACAGGGATACAGTAATAATAAGAAATAGAAGTCAAAGGTATAAAACAGCATTTGTTTTGCAACTTATCTAAAAGAATGGTTTATATCTTATATATTTTCAGTTGTTACAGAGCCACTGACTGTTCCCAGAGGTTCCTGAGTAGCAGATGTTGTAGCCCGTTTGTCAGAAAAACAAATCTCAGGAAACATGAAAACAAGCTGCCGAACTTCAAAGTCACCACATTATGACAGTATGACCAACACGGAATAGAAGTTGACATAAAACACGAGTGACAGGGCAGAGCCTGCAGGAAGGTGATGACCTCTCTGAACTGTGAATGCTCTGCTTCAGGCGTCGCCTCTGAGTTACGATTCATGTAGTTACATTTATGCTGCAATGATGTTCTCTTATGTCACTTGTTATTTTTGTTGCAAGGCAAAGGGTCTCAATACGCTTGTTCTCAAACTATGGTTAGCATACCACCAGTCGTACTTGGGCTTCCTATTGTGGGACCCGGGGGACTCTTTATACCGTTGGGGTTAGGCGAGTTACTTAGTAGTTAATGAAGCTGTTGCACTGTTTGTGCATGTGTGTGGTTTCATAATTGAAGTCGAGTGCATCATTGTACAGTTTGTACAGTTTGGTAAATACTGTACGTTATTCACTGCATTAAAGCTGCTGTAATTTACTGCTGGTCAAACAGGTGTTACTTGGGGAGGCAGATATTTTTGAAGGTGTTAACAGTGGAAAAAGTTTGAGAACCACTGTATTGAGGATACACTCAGTAGATGTATAACTTAAGGAAAAACTAAAAACTTTAGTAGCCTAGTGTAA